ATATGTTTCAACATTTTATTTGAATATTTATTATTGAAATAAATATTTTTTTGCCATGGTTGTACTTTTTTATTTGTAATTATAATAATATTGGTAGTAAAAGGATAATATTTAAGATAATAAAATTTAAAACTATATTTTTGTATATTGGCCCGCAGGCCAACCCGCAACCCGGTGGGCCAACCCACAACCCGGTGGGCCAACCCACTTAAACCCACAACCCGCGTGGGTTGACCCGCGAAACTCGCGAACTAAATGGGTCAGAAATTTTCAACCCTAACCCACCAATAAATGGGTTTAACCGGGTCAGCCCGCGGGTTTCGGCCCATTTTGACGACTCTAGGCACAGGATCCTGTAAGGATGAAAACCCGTTCAACCGATGTGGGATGCAGCCAAAGATCCCACAATATCACTTGCCCCTTGTTGGGCCCAGGACTCTAAGGACGAGCGTCGTCTTCCCCGAGGTCCACCCGACGAACGTCTACCAAATCCTTCTGCTGGATCGTACCCAAGATTTGCCTTGATGGTCCCCATGTATAGAGGATAATGGGCCGACCGACTATCGGGCCTATTAACCCAACAATTATTATTATTATTATTATTATTATTATTATTATTATTATTATTATTATTATTATTATTATTAGTAGTAGTAGTAGTATTACTATTATCATTATTATTATCATTATTATTTTTATTATTATTATTACTACTATTATTATTATTATTATCATTCATCATTATAAAAAATTATGTGTTTCAATTTCATTATGGGATTAGTATAGATTTAATATACTACATCTAGTCCCTAAATTAACTTTCAAAGTACATTTGGCACGATGATTAAGATAGTGAGTCTTGCAGGGTGGAGAGTTGTGTAAAGGAGAGAAAAATGTGTAATAATGTGTAAGAATTGTTGCGAAGTACAAATTCTTTTCCAAAAAGGGAAAGTGAAAATTTATTTTAAGACGATAAAAATGAAATTGGAAAGTTTAATTAGGAACGAAGAGAATATTTTTAAATTAAATCCATAAACTTTTTATAATTGTATTTTTTTTTGAATAAATTTTTACCTCCCGGTCTCATTGAACTTTCTTTCGGCAATGATGAAGATCTCTTTGTTTTGAGGTCGACGAAGATTTGCATTCCATTAGGAGTTCAAACAGACTATTGACAGATGGGAGAATAGAAGAATAGGTAACAAGTAACAAGTTGAAAAACAGACTATCTGGCCCAAAAAGGATCGGTAGAGTCGCCCATAACTAGAACTCTCGAAGAACCGGAAAGAGGAAAGATCTAGAATAGCCCGTTGTTATTCCATCTTCGAGGCACCACTTCTCCGTTCATTTCCAATACTGATCGTGAAACACCATGAGCAGCAGGATGTTGAGGTCCGAAATTCGAAGTGAAATTTTTGATTTGCCTGTTCCTAATCGTCATGGGAAAGAAAGGCATAAATAAGAAAGATATTATTCCCTGAGACCTTGTCCAATACCACCAGTACCAGAAATGCATCTCCTTCGTCCGCGCGAGTCTTGAAAAAGAGAAGAGTGCTTGTCAGAATTTAAAAGTTACTGTATACGCACGTTTGATTAATTTTTTTGCATTATACCACCGTCGTTCCCTACTAATATTGGGACGGAAGGAAGTAGTATGGTTTTTAAGAAAAATAGAATTATGTGGTCGATGAAGTGGAAATAAAATAAGAACGGCACGGCGGCACAAGTGCACAACACAAAAGAGCATTAGAGCGACAGAAAGGGCGGCGGCACAACACAAAAGGGAAAAATTACCCACACGTGTGACGACATAAAAGCTTATGTCACTAATGGCGGCGGAACATAAATCGCAGGAACGAGACAAAGCATCATCGTTGATAGAGTATTTAATTATAGAGAGAAGTGAGAGCTAGAGAGAGAGTGAGTAATTAATATTTCTCAACCTCCTATAACTACCCCTAGGGGGCTATTTATAGGAGTAAATGTGGATTTGGGCTCCTAGCCTCGGGCTTAGGAAGCCCATTACAATAATAAGACCTCTTTTGGGCATAACAAAGACTCTTTTGGGCATAATAATGCCACTAATGGGCTGGGTACATAGTTATTTAACTAAGTATGGAAATACAATCAACCGGGGCCGATGCGGGTGCCAGGCCGATGCGGGTCCAGGCCGAAGGGAGACCAGACCCACTTCTGCCTTGGGCTCTTGGGCCATGATCTGAGCACTTTTGGTTCCGGTCGATGGGGTGCCATATGGTCGATGCGACGCCACGCGGTGTCGGTCTTTTGTATTTAATCTTCTGAGTATGTGGGCCACGGGGTCTGGGCCCATATACTCTCTCAATCATCATGGTGGGTTGTTGAGAAGCTGGAAATGGGATTATTTGGGATTATTGTAGTCGTTATTGCGACTCTTAAACACATTTGGGCTGATTGAAAATCAAAACAGTATCATACAATTTAAACAAATCTTTGTGGTATGCTTCATCTTCCTCGACCAAATTACCAAATTGATAAAAAAATGTTGTTTTACCAAATTGGTAAAAAAAAATATCTTGAGTCATATTGGTAAAAAAAGCTTACAAATTGATGATTTTTTTGTGGGTGACACATTTTTTGTGCTCGACTATAGAATTCCTGACATTTCATATTCTAAGACTCTAAGTATTATGATATTGACATATTCAATCCTTCAACTTTGATTTTGTCATGAAAAGTGCAGAACTAAAAATGTCAACGGTCGTGTTTGATAATAGCAATTTTCTGCTAGCTAATAGCCGATTGAACCCGCAGATTAACAATAGCACAATCTGTTGACTTTTTAACTAACCATTTTCATTATCAATTTGAAACAAAATGCTAATAACTTAACTGTTTGCGATTAACTGTTAAGACATAAAATGACCATTAAGAATATGAATTTATAAGTATATATATTTAATTTAACTTTTTTTTTTAATTAGTCTTGAAAAATGTTTAACAATTATATTTGCGTTGATTTTACATAACTACTACCACTATCATTTTCAACACATGTACATTAACGCAAGCACACATGTATGAATTAATTCATTTTTACTACTAATATTTTAAATATGACGTGTCATTTATACTGTGGAAGAAAAATTAAGGACGGATGGAGTAATAAAATATTAATATTTAAAATATTAATACTAATAATATATGAATTTATATGTGTGTCCTAAAAATATTAACGCCTTAATGTACATATGCCAAAAATGATAGTGGTAGTAGTTATTAAAAATACACGTAAATATAATTCTTAAACTTTTTCCAACACTTACTAAAAATAAAAGAAACAAAATTAAGTTGTATATACTCCGTATAAGTTTTAAAATCAATATCATTAATGGTCATTTTACGTCTTAAGAGTTAATCGCAAACAGTTAAGTTACTAACATTATGTTTCAACCGGCTATTAGCTAGCAAACAACTGCTATTATCAAACACGACCGTTAACATTTTTAGTCTTGCACTTTTCATGACAAATTGAAAATGTCAATTTCGCAATAATTATAGTCTTGGAATATGAAATGTCGGGAATTCTAAAATTGGAGATAAAAAATGTCTCACTCACAAAAAACTGACCAATTTTTCACCGGAACTTCTGTTTTTTTAACCAATATGACTCAAGAGGTTTTTTTTTTACCAATTTGATAAAACACCCTGTTTTAATTTACCAATTTGGTAATTTGGCCCATATGAAATTACAAATTCCAGCCGTTTGTTGTAAGAATATTAAAGAGCCTAACATCCCGCTGGTTTCTCATCGATCAATTCGCATCTTCCAAAGCTCCAATCTCAAAATATACGCCTATATTTTCAATAATTATTTCTCTTGACACAAATGTAAAGCCCACAAAAGAGGGGAAGATTTCTCTTGGTCCACGAAAAGGAAAAAACAAATTCTAGCTTCTTCCCTTTCAAGAAATGAATCATGTGGGTTGCAACCAGGGCCGGCTATATGGCCATATGGGGGAGGCTGGAGGCACCTAGGCATATGCCTAGGGCATCAAGATAATGTGGGGCATCGAATTTTCTTTAAAAAACTATTATTTTATAATTATTACATAATCAATATGTCATACTCCACTATGCAGTACTAGATGAAAAGGAAATCTTATTATTGATAATTAATGATACCAAAAACTACAAAACCTCTAAATTACTTACAAAACTAAAAAGTGAAGGTTATTAGAAAATTCAATGTATTTTCTTCTATACTGTACAATTTTACTATATTAGACAGAGTATTAAATATAATTTAAAATTGATTGGGGAAAAGAGAACCGTGTTCTTATTAAATTATACACTGAAATATTACGAATTTTTGTAATACAACTGATAATCTACTATACGGATAATGTTTTAAAAAATATACTACGTATAATTTGTTACTTTTACTCAACTACTCTTTCCGCCCCGTTTGATGTATCCTACATTTCTTTTTGGTTGTTGTCCCAAAATAAGTGTCATGTTTCCATTTTTCGAAAGAAATATATGGTATACAACATTTCACTTTATAATACTCAAATCTCAACAACAATTTTTACTTTTTCAACCACTTTATTAATAAGTGTGTGAAGTTAGAGTAAGACATATAAAATGGGGACGTAGCTAATACTATATATATATATATATATATATATATATATATATATATATATATATATATATATATATATATATATATATATATATATATATGGAGTATTAGAGTATATATTTAAGGTGTAAAATAAGACTAATACTCTATGAAAATGTAGTTTTAGTTTTTGTCTAGGGCACCAAATCAATTAAAGACGGCCCTGGTTGCAACTTGCAAGCTAGAAGAGGGTTTAATAACTTATTATTATAGTATAAACACACATAGATTTGATTGATTAATAACACCGCCATGAATCGGATTCTTAGTTAATTGAACCCAAAGCCTCCCCTTCTCCATCTTATAAATAGGAAATGAAAGACAGACTTCTATTGATCTAAAGAATTATATTCAACTGTTACAATGATTAACATTGACGACGTGGAATATAAAAAAATTGGTATTGCTTTTACTTTCGTGGACAAACCAACCGATGTTCATATCATGCTATCTCCTTTATTGGGTATATATGTCTTAAACTCATTCGTCTTTTCTTCCATCTTTCTTTGTTTATATAATTAGTGTGTATATATATAACGTGCATTTCAAATAAAAAGATATTCTTATGTGAAAAATGTATCCCTAGAATTTTTCCGGTTTGACTCTTTTGCATCAAATTTTATAAATTTTGACCATTAATTATTCAAAACTCACATTATGTTATGATTAAAAATTTATTTCATATACCTCATTGTAAAACATATTATTTGAATGTTAATTTATTAAGAATTTTATAAATATAGATATGTAGATATTTAGAGTCAAAGTTCAACTTAGAAGACCGTGAAAAGTCAAAATGGGAAGATCTTTATGTTACAGAGGTAGTATATTTTGGATGTTCAAAATTATACGCTTTCTCATTAAAATATCAAGAAATAAATTATTACTCTAATTCACATATACATAATCCAATTTTTTATATATTTTGGATGTGCACATGAACACCCTTGCATGGAAGAGATTTATCCCTACATACTTCGTACTACGTATAATATAATTGTTTTATATATAATTGATTAAAAAGCTTTATATATAGAGAGGATGGGGTGTTAGGCAACAGGTTGTTGGTTGTTGGCTGTTAGCTGATAACGTTGGCTGGTGGATGACAACGATTTATGTTGGCTGTTTTGATTAGCAGATAGTATTAGCGTTTTATGAAATGGTGTTTGGTTAAATAGATGTTTACAAATGGCTGAGAACTAATAAAATGACCTCTAACGACATTGATTAATTTTTTCGAATACATACTACATTTACAATTTACACGTGCATATATCAGATGAAATTATAATTATTATATTTCTAATCATAGTATGATTAGTATCATGCGATCACATATCATTTATAGAATTCAATTCACATTGGCTTATTTCCCTGTTAATTAAGGCAGAATCATAATGGTCCGAAAAGAAGGAAGTTATATATATATATATATATATATATATATATATATATATATATATATATATATATATATATATATATATATATATATATATATATATATATATATATATATATATATATATATATATATATATATATATATATATATATATATATATATATATATATATATATATGAACAGGGAAAAAAATCAAATGGAAATTTATAACAAGAACTAAAGGGATTGAACACTGGAGTAAAATCTACGTAGTAATAATACATAAAAGTGACGTGTGAAGATACAAGAGTGGTGCACCGGGTTGAGTACTTGAGTCGGTTCTGCTAGTTGAGTTACTGAATTGAAACCAATTTAACTATTTGAAAGATGTTGATATTTGGATAGTTTCGGAAAATTGAAAAACATGTGAACAGCCATTATGTAAACGCTAAGGATATCAGCGTTTTTAGTTTTGGTCGTTCCGTACAAAAAGCCAGATGAAATGTGTATTTACCAAACACATTAATTAGCTAATTCATCTGGTCAAACAGCCATTTAATAGTCAAATCAGCCAAAAAATGGTTGATAGACTCCTAACTTAACCAAACACCCCATCACCGTTTTTAGTTTTGGTCGTTCCGTACAAAAAGCCAAATGAAATGTGTATTTATCAGACACATTAGTTAGCTGATTCATCTGATCAAACAACCATTTAATAGTCAAATCAACCAAAAAATGGCTGATAGACTCCTAACCAAACACCCCTGATATCATGATACAGATGGATTGGTTAATTAATTAAGTTAACCCTTGTTAAAAAGACATGGTGGGCATTATATCTTGATGATATAAATTGTTATAGTCCGTTGTATTCATTCATACTTATACACTCCGTATAATATAATTTTGTACAATTAATCTAATGGTGCATTTTTATTCTAGCTAGCAGATGCATTAAAAGTTGTACATATATCATAATGACACCACATGTTGACTTAAACTTTTGATGCCATATGCAATATTATTTGTGGAATAATTACCCACCCTAATAGGGTGTGGCCCTGATGTATTTATAATAAATCAAGAGTCAAATAATTACAAAGATGTCCCTATATTAATTACCACTAATTTTTATCGTAATTCGTCATTACGTTGCAGGGTTCAAAGGAAAGGATATTGACATTACATTGTCAAATGACTCAAATACTAATATTGTAAAGATAATGGGAATTAATCGAACGAACCTTACCTACTTCGTTTTCGAAAAAGAAATAAATTGCATATATAATAATATTAAAGTTGAGGTTACACAAAATGATTTTGATGAAGAAGCAGGTAAGCTTTATGTAAAGCTATCAAAAAACAGAATCCCCAGTATTAATCCACCAAGAAAAGATGAAGAAGTACGAGACCAGCAAAACTCATCATCAAGCAGCGGTAGAAAAGATCATCACAAAGCAAAAAGAGGAAATGACGAAAGCGGTCCAAAGAAGCGGATAATGTTCAAGGAGACTACTCTTGTTGTTATAGCCAAATTTTCTTCACTCTTAAAATGTATCGGTCTCTCACTGAGAAACTTGTTACACTGTAATGCACACTGATCGAAGATTGAAATAAATAAATGTTAATAATATACTCCCTCTATCCCCAAGGCTGTCCGCAATGCATAGGGGTAGAAACCCAAATTTGAGCTTTTCACCCCAAATTGATGTGCAACCCAAGTATACTAGGGTCTCATAGTGGGTTGGTAGAACCCTTGGGGTGGGAATTTGGATGCTCGATCCACTCTTGGAGAGAGAGAAAAAAAGCTGCACTCGGTGTGCACACCAAAGAAAAAGAAGTGGGTTCCATGAAAACTCAAAATCCGAAATTTCTTTAAAATGATATAACTTTTTTTATTAAAGATCAAATTTTTATAAAAAATATATCAAAATTCATAACTTTTTATAATCTTTCATATGACACCAGTCATGGATATATACAGTTACAAAAATTAGTTTGATATTTTAACATTAAAAAAATTTGGTTAAAAAAATTCACTCCCAATTTATTTATTTTTACATCGAAATGTTTGATATATTAAATCATAATTATTTGTAAAAATAGAATTTGCGAAAAAAAATATGTATAATAATAAAAGTAAGGATTTAACTAAAAAAGAATGTGTTGAGTGAATATATTGACGGTGTTGGGTTGCAAGGAAAAACAGGATTGACTGAGTGAATACGTATAAACTGGTGTTAGATTAGATTTATTGACGGGCTGGGTTGCGGTTAGCCTAAAAGGATTGCCAGGTTTGATCGGCACGTAGAATGATAAAGTAAAAATTGTGTGGTAGAGATTTGTGCAGAGGAAAGAGAAATAATAGAAGCCACAAATTGATTGATTAAAAGGGAAAGTGACAAAGTTTTTGGAACAACTAAAAAAGGAAAGTTGACAAAGTTATAAGGGACGGAGGGAGTACTTTTTTAATGTGCATTTGTCACCCCAAATATAAATAAGTCCTAATTTGAAACAAACAAAAAAATATATTCTTGTACTAGAATTTGTTCAATGTGGGACTACAACATAAAAATCTTAACTCCATCAAAGAGGGTTCCCTTTATAAGGAGGTGAAATTCTCTTGAGTTTTCCGGTCTGGGCACACTCGAAACCCATAATTTTTCTAGTTTTCTCCATTTCAACGAGTGAAGTTCGAGAATCAAATTCTAATTCACCCGTTATTCGTTTTGAGTGTACCACATATCGAATTGCAGCTCTTAACAATGACAATCCGAGTCAACTTTGACCCGACCCAAATCGAAAGTGGACCCCACTCAAAATATTGCCCAAAATTGATCATTTAATGCAATCTTTGTTAACACATTTTCCAACATTTAGTAATTCAAACCATTTACTTGTGATGATATATATATATAAAAGCTAAGTTTCAAGTTACTACATACTAGTCTATACACATTAATAATCGGCCTATGCATTTATCTAGAGTAATGGCTGTTGTCACGACCCTTTATTAGTATTATTGTACTCCTGCGTTGCTGAATTATCTTCCAAATTTTCTTTTTGATATGTTCCAAAAAAAAATTCTATTTTAATGTTTGGCAAATAATTTGTGTACACACTTTTTGTGTACACACTTCTTACACATGTTTGCGAACCAACTACAGAGTATAAATATAGATTATTGAGGAGAGCAAACCACAAATCTAAACACAATGCTGACTATGCATATAGAAAGGGAATGGGTTTTTACGGAGGTGGAGGGATGTTGGAGCTATTATAATGACAACCATCTTAAAGGGAAGACAAATGGAAATATTCTTCGCTGGGAGGTATCAGTGGTTAAAAAGATTTTAGATTTCTACTATAGTAATTCTTATTATTAATTACGACATATATGAACTAATTTCTGTTTACCAGATTTGGCAGAGGAGAAGATTTGGCTACATTTACAGCTAATTCACACCATTAAGAGCGTGACTACTTTGTTTATTGAAACTTTGTTTTAAAATAGTATATATGGTACACACATTCCATCCCATTATTTTATGGTCCTATTTCAAGAAGGTGATCATTTTTTGCTTATAAACCTATTCCAAAGGTGGGGAGATATTAGAAGTCATTTTCCAGGCTTTAGAGCCTTAGATGTATATCATTCGCCCCTTAAATTTCTTTGAAAATAATGCAAGTAGAGTTTTGTGTCTTCCTCAGTGATGTTCATCTACGGTTAGCATTCACTGAGATTAACAAGGAGGACATACTCATGCGCCAATGGCCCAACAGGTAATCAGAGTGAGGTTCGATCTATATAAGCAGTTCTTATCTTTTCTTTTTTTGTTTACTTTCTAACAGTTTGATAAACACATATGTTGGCAACCGGCAAGTGTGGGAAACTATATATCACAAACATATAGAATCAGTGGCAAGAATGAAAGGTAAAAACTCAAAAGGTGTAACCACGGCGTTTTACCACTTAGATTACATTATGTCAAAATTAACATCGGAATTTGGTACAACCATGAGGTTCATACAAACCAATACTTTAATAAGATCAAATCACTTTTCAATAAAAATCAGTTTTAAAATTTAACATATAAGAACCACGAGTATCGCACTAAAGATGGATATTAGTCCTACATATCCGGAGATTGGTTAGTTTTTCTTGCATAACCAGGGGTTATAAGCAGGCCTTAATAACCATTTAAAATGTACATGATAATTATTATAGATATTAATTAATTAAAGAAGCGTGGAGTTCACAGAGTACAGTAAAGCTATAAAAGAAAGCATATTTAATTTGGCCTTATACTTGAACAATATATTTATTCAACTATTTATACATGTGTAGTACTATTTTTTGAGTTTTTTTTATATATTCATAGTTTTTGAGAAATAGTTGAATACTTTTTTCATATAATAAATTAATAAAAAATGGTTTTCTTACCGGTAATGCAGGAAAATAGGTGCAATTAAGTAAAGATTGTGATATTACTAGAAATTAATTAAAGCAATGTGTATATATTCTTTTTATAAATACTGCGTACTAAAAAAGATAATGTGGTTAGAAGAGTAGATTCCAAAGTGCAATTAAGTAAAGATTGTGATACTACTGGGAATTAATTAAAGCAATGTACAAGTGAGTGTCTTCATCATTACTTGACAAGGAAGTCCACTCACAAATGTTTATTGACCAGCTTTGCTACTTCACTACATAAAAAGATTTAAGGCATTAACAATCAAAGTAGGTGATGGAATATATGGACTCCGACCCCCCGGTCTGTCGACTACTGGGCCTGGACAGCGGCTCACTCACGTTTAGCAGATATCATTCATATCATTGTACATTATTATCGTTATTCAGATGTTCTAGATTAGCTTTTTATACTATTAGTCCATTTATGTAACCGGGTCTGTCAGACCCATATTAGAGGCCCAGACCCGGATTTTCCCTATATATACTCCTTTAGGAGGCTACACACAATTGATATTCATACACAATACTACTTCTTCTCCTTCTTTCCTGTTCAAACTCTCACTAGTTATAGGATATGGGTATCAATTATCCAACAATGGTGCTCTCGTTGAGAGGTTTGAACACAATCAAGTGAGAAAACCTCCCGCAAACAACCAAAAAATTCATTCCATTCACACAAAAATTAGCCAAAATTGTTCTGAAAAATTAAAAAAACAGAAATATGGAATTATCCAGATCCGAAGGCTGGAGCAATCCCGACCAGATCTAAACGTTGAGCCAGAGCAGCACGCGGTCGGAGGGGTTAGATGCGACTCAGAGTCCGGCGACAAGCAGCTCGCTCCTCCTCCTCCGAACTTGCTCCGCCTCCTGTCGCTCTTAGCTCGTTCATACACCTCCTTCGCAGCTCGCTGTCTTTCTATGGTTTCATGAACAATATCTGCCATTAATGGTGCAGGGAGGATCTGATTCTCAAGCTAGAAGCCAACCTGAGGAGGGCATGGGCCGTTGCTGCTAAAAACTGGAACTTCCTCCATTAAACACAGCCTGAGGAGCCAACCTGCTACACTTCCGGATCTCGTCGTAGCCCACAGCCATTGTAGCGTCGCCAACAACTGTTCGAGGCCTGCTTCTCCACCTCCGTTAGAGTGAAGTCAGCTGCGCGAATCGGCTAGAGGTTGTGACGAAGGACACAACCCAGACCAGCGACGGGTTACAACTTGAGGTAGCCGGTGGTCCTCCTGAACATTTCGGCCGATGCCGTCGTGGTCAGCGTCGTATCCGGCAACTTGACCATCATCTATAACCCAGCCAGAGAACAGAGTGACGAAGATGAGCCTCTCAGCATGATGGACTCTAAGGCCACAGCGCCCCAAGACGCATCAGTAGCGGATGCTGAAAGTCCACCCACGGCCGATGCCTCCTCCAATTTTTCTTCGTCCGCATGAGATGGGGCTCCAGACGGTGATTTGTCTAACAGCCACTGAGATTTGATCTGTGAAATGAATGACACGATGAGTTTTCCTCCAAGATCTAGCTCCGGTCCAAACCTAGTGGGTCAAGACTACATCAAGTCCAAGACTGATTCTCACCGTAAGAACGGGTCTCAATTTCAGTCAAGCAATCCAATATTTCAGCCCATCAAAAGATAAGTACTCTTTAATTTTAATATTATTTATATTTATTTTGATCAATAGTTTTGTTGGGTGAATGTCACACTATCACGCAATTATGATCAAATGCCTAGTAGACTGTGGCTTGAGACCCATCACTAGGATTTAAAGCCCTGACTCTCAGGCACAAAGTCCTGACCAAGTCAGGCACAAAACCCCGACCAAGTCGGGCATGAAGACCGGTCTTAGTCATTCAAAGAATGGCGACCGTTGCGTACGAATGGCTCACGCATCCACTCTACTAAGTATTTTATCATTACATCGACAATTCACATTTCCACTTTTTTCAAGTGACGAACTCCCGATCGGAAACATAAACCCCAAAGAAAATTTTTATATGCATTTTAAATGTGTAGGTACGAAAATGACTTTACTCATTTTTAACCTCGTCTCCACTCGCCTCAAGGAGTGGGGGACTGGGGGATTGAGAGGTCAGATTTTCTGGATGAGCAGCAGATATCACGCATGAGCAAGAACGAGAGCTAGGTCAGATGAAGACAGGTTGAGCTACACAAAAGTGATTATGCTAGAGGGGGCCTACCTTCCTTGTTTCATGTTGGGGGCGTTAGGTGTACTCTTTTTCCCTTTATTAGGATTTTTTCCCACTGGGTTTTTTCCTAGTAAAGGTTTTTAACGAGGCACCTCCTCATCATGGACAGGGGTGGTGGTCCCCGGCTGGAGAGGAAGGAATCAAAGACAGAAGAACATTGCAGATACAGTTTGGACTACTCCCTTTCGCCTCGAGTAATCTCGACTCAGGGAGTGGGGGACTCATGATGGAATATATGGACTCCGACCCCCCGGTCTGTCGACTACTGGGCCTGGACAGCGGCCCACTCACGTTTAGCAGATATCATTCATATCATTGTACATTATTATTGTTATTCAGATGTTCTAGATTAGCTTTTTATACTATTAGTCCATTTATGTAACCGGGTCTGTCAGGCCCATATTAGAGGCCCAGACCCGGATTTTCCCTATATATACTCCTTTAGGAGGCTACACACAATTGATATTCATACACAATACTACTTCTTCTCCTTCTTTCCTGTTCAAACTCTCACTAGTTATAGGATATGGGTATCAATTATCCAACAGTAGGAATTCATACATGATCTACACACAAATTGACTTAAACATGACAGTGACTCGATCAAAGTTAAATAATAATATACTCCCTCCATCCCGAATTGAATTGCAAACTTTAACCGACACAAGGATTAATAAATGACAATAAATGATGCTTGCTTTTTACATTTTTGCTCATCTTTCTAAAAGTAGATGCCTTTAAATTAATGGGAAAAAGTAAAAGTAGGGGTAAATTTGTCACTTTATTTTTATTTACATACCTAAAATAGAAAGTGAAAAACCATTTTGGGACAACCAGAATAGGAAATTTCCCAAATCAAATTGGGACGGAGGGAGTACTACTTTTGTCCCTAAATAGATGTTCATGTTTCCTTTTCCTTTTCGCTCCGTTCCTAAACGGAAGTCTTCTTTCCCTTTTTGGCAAACAAAATAGTGCAAAACCGTGTCCAAACAATGTCAAAGAATCGCACTTTCTAAAATTGTGCATAAAACAAATAAGGGCTTTTATACGGGGATGGAGGGAGTACTATGTTAGTAGTTTTGGCCTTAAAACACAATAACAAGACTATGATAGAATTTTTAAAACCCGGAATCAAACTTCCTCCGCACATCCTACTACATGTATCACAAGCCTTTTTATTCCAAAATGTTTCCAAAAATACCATATAAATAATGATGAGCAGCAAAGAAATTGGTTTAAAATGATAGTGGCTACTAATAAGTATGTATAACAGCCCATTAACGTTTTAGGTGTTAAACTGTTAACACACAACAATAAGGCTATTAAACACGGTCATATGTATTTTAAAAAATCTTAGTAACATGATAACCTTTTTGAACAAATTTGTTTGTAATTTTACAAAAAAAGGTGCGTTTTATTTTAAAATTGCTGATTTTATTTCAAAATGTTTAAACTGATGCTATGTAACATATACATATCAAATAATTCAAATAATACCCAAAATAGAGTTTGGAGTATACTCATCATAATAGCCAAGGCCGGGATACCACTCCAATACATTGAGTGACCAGTTGGCTGATAAACATGATAAGCCGAAAAATAGTGTTGCCAAACGGCCTCTTTATCTTCTTACCTATTTCAAATTGCATATATAAAATATTAGATAGATTCTATGGTACCCATAAGGTACTATACCTTTGTCCACATGGACCAATGAGAATGTTGCAGTTGAATTATTTAAATCGAAATTTAAAATGATATAATGTTGTGGACCAATCAAGTGAATGATAGGTACGGTACCCAATTTTTTAAATGGGTACCGGAGTTGTCACCAAAATATTATTATGTAGCTTCGTTCTCTTTTCACACTTTTTTGAATTATAATTTTATCGGTCTTGAATGTTATTGCATTCATATAATTTTTTATATGATTTGATTATATTGTGTCCCGTGCATCACACGAGTGAAAAGGTGACCTTAGTTTAATTTTCGACTTATCAAACTTATTAGCCAGACCACTCACGTAACTTTTGATTTCGCCCGTTGAATTACGTAATAATAAGAAGAAAAAGTAAGGTCGAAGTTACTTTTCTGATTGTATTGACTGAAGTTACTGTAGAAGATCATTTTAGATATTTTTCATATAACTTTTTCTTTATTTTATTAATCTAATTATCTTTCATAAATAATTATAATCTGCCGATCTGGCCACTTCATCCGTAACTTTATAAATTTAAGCAGAATCAGCTGATTCAGCTAATTTTTGTGTTAACAAACGGGCTCACATTTTATTTTTATGATAATATCATGCACTTCCCCTATCTCAAAATAAACTTCAGGATTCTTTTTGTCTATTCTAATATCTATTTTCTTTATTTTTTAACAAAGAGTAGTGATTCATAACTTTTTTGTTTCATCTACACAACTTTAAACAACAAAATTTCTACCTTTTACTTTGCCAAATCAAAATGAATCAATTATGAGGCGAAGAGAGTAACATTTTCATTTTTATCATTTTATAAAAACTCTTGCTCCGTGCATCGCACGGGTGAAAAACTAGTTTTCACAAGCACAGATTTCAACTTTTCTAAACAAGTAATCCATAAATTACATAAACTCCATCACCACAATTAATGCTACTAGCTCATCAACCCAATACGTGAAAGCATGAATACTTACCCTATGAGGGGAGTGAATTAGGTGCACTCCTATTTTATTTGTGTTTTGTAAATTTATCATCTAAGTCGTAGCAGAAAGATATGTTACTCAACCTCACTTACCAAGAAATTGATTAAAAAAATGTATAAACACTTGGTTGCACACTTTTTGTTAGATTGGGAAGGTTCCAACCCTCTCTTTTACTCTTTCTTACCAATTACCAGATTGGTAAAAAAGATAGTGATTTACCAAATTGGTAAAAAAAAATATCTCAAGTCAAATTGGTAAAAAAAGAAGCACGAGTCATAAATTGGTCACTTTTTGGTGAGTGAAATACTGTCAAAGACTAACCGATCTTTTGAACAATGCCCAAAGTTAAAGACTTTTGAGTTTTGATGCATAAAAAGGACATTTCCAATTTCCGTGCCATATCGTCTTTCCTGCTAGAAAACCTTTTGATGCCCCAAATTCCCGCATCAGACAGACGACCTCACACAAAAAGCTAATGCTGAAATCTTGACTATGCTTTCGATGCCTATTTCCTGGCAGCTTCTTTTTTTATTCTTCTTCTTACGGTCTGGAAAGATTCGAACAAGGAAAACGGAGGAGTTTCTACAGAATGGAACAATCTCTATTTCCCACGCAAATTTTCCCGGGATTGATGGTTCTGATCACTTCATTCGCAGTTATTTGCTCGTGTTTGGAGGATTATAATGCCATTGTCCTAAAAGGCTGCTCACAGAAGAAACTAGATGATCGGAATGAGAATTTCTCCCGAACCCTCGACGGCCTCTCCAAAACCCTGTATTCAAAGTCCTCATCCGCGAATTTCAGCAGAGCCACCGCCAGAGGCGGCGCCGTCTCCGGTCTCTTCCAGTGCAGAGGCGACCTCTCTCCCTCCGATTGCAGCGTGTGCGTGGAGGAATCCTCGAAACAGTACAAGATGATCTGCGGCGGCGACTCGGTTGCGGGCCGGATCCAGCTGGTCGGGTGCTACATCAGCTTCGAGGTGTCATCCAAACAGAAAGTCGATTCAACGCATTTACTCCTCAAGGAGTGCGGGCTGAAATCGGGTCGGGCCTCCTCTTCCGTTCTGGCCGCGGCGTTTAAGGATATGGCGAAGCAGGTTAAGGTGAGCGGGAATCGGTTCTACTCTGGAAGCTTCGGCGGGGACGGAAAACAGGATTCTGACTTCGTTGACGGGTCGTTGACTTTGATGGGTCAATGTGAAGGCGATTTGGGGAGAAATGATTGTGCGGCGTGTTTGGACAATGCAACGGCGCTGTCCAGAAGTCTCTGCGGTAATGGCACTGATTCGGCCAACATATATCTCCAACGGTGCTTTATGAGCTACAGTTTTGCCTTCTCCAAACGCATCTTACCAGGTCCGTACTCATTTGATTTTGATATTTGAAAAAAAGGACGATGAATGGATAACTGGAAAATTCTCGAAATAGGAGTTAAAATATTTTGGAGTTTCAAAATATGATTGTTATGTTTGTACTCTCAAAATACGGGAAATTATCAACAATTTTGGAAAGTATTGTCATATTTAAAGTTATGTGCCGCCAAAATATGACAGTAATTACTCATATTTGAAAATTGTTCTAAATAGGAGTAAATGTAGTTTGAAATTCCAAAATAGGACTATTATGTTTTTCTTCCCGAAATATGAGTTTTTATTGACATGTATGAAAAATACTGTCATAATTAAAATATTGTCATTAATTATAATAAATATTGTCATGTTGAATGCAATGTACTGCAACTATTTGACAGTCACACCTACAAGATGACAGTAAATAATGTCATGTTAATCCTATTTCGGGAATAAAAACATATAAGTCCTATTTTGGAATTTCAAATTTCATTTACTCCTATTTTGAGTAATCTCCCTATTTTGAGAATAAAAACACGATAGTCCTATTTTAAAATTTCATAACGTTTTTTATTCCTGTTTTGAATAATTTCTCATTGATGAATCGGTGGAAATCATTCTATAGGGAAAAACACATACTTATATTATATGTTTATATATTTGTGTTGGGACAGATAATTTTGATATAAACAAGATAGTCAGCATTATAATGACACCCATTGTTATTGTGGCTTTCGCAATCGTGATATTCCTCTACATAAAGTCAGCGCTAAAGACCGACCATCAAAAAGCAAAGGTATGATAATAATGTGATAAACCGTTTATGTGAGTGCTGATTTAGCTCTTTACCAAAAAAAGACGAAAATGTCACATTAATGCTCATAATAATGTTGTTACTTGGTTTTGTTTTGGGAATTTAGGGCGTATGGGGTTGAATCAATCTTGGAGAAGATGGAGGTATTGAAGAGAAATCAGAATGAAGACTGTATATGTGTGATACTTTTTTCCCACTTTCAAACTGGTCATTGCCGAATTACTGTCTCTCTTTGTGTAATTGTGTTCATTTCAAGTTTTGGTCAATATTGTGCTTTCCAAACTATCTCTCACTCCCATTTATTCAAATTAAAATGGAGATAAAACATGATCCCCTTCCCGCAAAGAACTTCCTGCTTTCCTTTTTTAGCGGTTCCAAAAAGAAGTTCTCATTTCCCTACACGAGAAGTTATCTCCATCAAAACAATGCAAAACAGTGTCAAACAGTGCCAACCAGTGTCAAAACAGTAAAATATACCCCCTGGTAAGTTTATTTCCTTAATATGTGTAGATCAAACCGGGGTTTTAGCGATTGGTATTGCTTTTTCTAGGATGAAATATTCTATGTTTGATCATGACGCGAGAGGGCCGACGGACTTTGGTTTTGGATGGATAGAGGGAAATTTAGGTCTTGGGATATTGTTATTATTTCGGACCGTTAAATTTAATATGAGCTTGTTTTCTTTCAAAAAAAACTTGACTTCGTTTAAGACATTTTACTTATGTTCTATTTTTTTCAAATTTTCAATAAAATGTAAACATTAGGCCAAATTAATTGAACTTAAAAATAAAATTGAAGACTACTCACACTATATACAGAGAAAATTTTTGGACCTATTTATGTCTATATATTTTTGGGCCTAGGGCAGTCGCCCCTGTTGCCACCACCCCCCCCCCCCCCCCGCCCCGCCCCGTCGCCACCCGCCCCGATCCTGAGTTCTTAAATAATACGGAGTACAAATAGGGATGACAATCCAATCCGGTCCAATGGATACCCGCATTGAATTGAACCGAATCAGTCGAAATGGGGAAAACCGCTTTGACTATGTAACGGGTACAGGATGAGGAATAACCAATTTATGTAAGGGGATAATAGGCGATTACGGTTTTATACGTACCCTGCCCATTTATTTCGGATACGATTTCCCGCATTATTATCTGACCTGCACAATTAACTTATTTCGGATACTACCTGTGTCTCATATCGGTTGTCAAGTTTCAATTTGGCGCGATTATTAATAAAATGGTTGAAAAGTAAAAGTTGTGGTTGACATTTGAGTAATAAAGTGAAATGGTAAGGGTCACATATTTGTTGCCAAAAAATGAAACATGACATTCATTTTGGGACAACCCAAAAAGGGAAGTAAGGCAATCAAAATGGGGTGGAGTGAGTATATTTTACTCGTAATGGATTATGTATTTATTATTTACGAGTAGTACTGCATTAATATACGATGCTCCTACAGTACTACCCTCTAATATGAAATAAAATATATATGACTTACTTTGAAACCATATGCGGCCAATTAACTATCTTTCGCAATTCTAACGAGTCGGCGCTCTAAAGTTCACTATTTTAGATTTTGAACTTTCACTATCCTTCACCATCTCTCCTATGTCTTCTTCTTCATCATTGAATTACCTTTATCTATGACAAGTAATTTTCTTACTTGTACAAACGATGATGTAAACCAGAACCAAATATCAATCAAAGATTTTTTTCCATCAAATATGAAGTTAAAGAAGGTTACTAAACTGGTTGTGGGACCCACATCGGGAGTAGGTGTAAAACCATTCCCCGAGAATGTTCACCTACAACATTGGGTGAATTAGATGTGCCACCTTTATAGAAAGTGGCGATAGGTTTATTTTGACGATTTAACTTTTACCGATACACTAAGTTCCGCGTGGGACCCACATCTGGTGCGGGTACCACCCTAGATATTTGGTGACCACTTATAATATTCATTTTGATCTAAATAATACTATATGACAGTAGGAATGGGCTGTGGGTCCCATGGATATCAAGAAGAACAACGCGACAACCTCTCAATTAGCAAGTGCAAACCTCTCAATTAGCAACTAATAAGCATAGAATTGTGACAAAATGAAGCATAAAGTCTAACTTATCAAATAACATCACTACACTCTTGACTTAGATAATATTTATGCGTAAGTAGAAGTCTGTGGTAGGTCATGATAATGAAGCAGGGTCAGTCGAATGACCGAACGAGCCCCAAAGGTTAGTAATTGTAATTTATTTGGTATCAGTCTTGCAATAAATTATGGGAACAACCAAATTAAGGTCGAGTAAAATATATTTATTCTAGGGACCCACTTTAATAGGGAAATGATATATATTTAATTTGTCACGATAAAAATAGTCGGAGATATACAACTTTCCGGATCAAGAATACATTTTGGGACTTAAAGGGATGACCTCCCACGTGAGTGACGGCTATCACACGAGATTTATTCAATCAAGGAAACAATAGGAAGGCTTGAGCGTGAGGGGGGATGGAGGATAATTGATTAGAGGTGTTTGGCATCAAAAGGACATGGGGTGTACCTCACTCCCATACTTATTGTGCAGTTGGGACAAGGGAAGTCTCTTCACCACGTTCTTATCTTACCAATTCAGTCAACTCATCCAAGATAAAGAGAGATGCTCTGAAACTTCTCTTCTTTATGGTCTTCGATCAAGCTCAACCAAAAGAAACTTCCTAGGAAGAAGAAAAGTTAGGATAAGTGAGGAAAAATGTGAAAAGTGAGAGTAATGACTTCATTAGTATCTATTCCCCCTTTATTTAATCTCATATGATTTAAAGCATCATATGATAGACGCCTAAGCTTTTTTTTACACGTTTAGAGGTGTGAAATGAGGGGTGGGAATAAAGGGTTTTATCCAAGACCAGAGTTATGACTAGAGAAAGACTGATTCACCGGAAAACACTTTCTTTTTTTTTTGTGGATGAAATGTAAATTTATATTAACACCCAAAGAAAACTATACATCATGGGTTCTAGATCTCCTAACCCCCACCCCTACATAGTGTAGGGGTAAGAAGAGGTTTTTATTCGATCTAATCAAAGGTCAAAAACTCAAAAAGGGCCTAAGTATATAATACTAAATGCCCAAAAATCACAAAAGAAAAACGGTGCTGCCATGATGCACGCACACAGATCATAACAATACATCAAAAACAGATGCGAACATCCCAGCCCTTAACGTTAAAAGATAGTTTGGGGGGAATGTAGGATTTCCATATGAAACTCATAGGAGTCCTAACATTACCCTTAACTCTAAGTAAATCATAAATTTTGGCGGAGGTTAATTTCCCATTTGTGGAACGGGAATTAAGGCCATGAATCGTATCATTCAAGTTATTAAAACAACCCCGGATTTTATCTCGAATGAGACTAAGTCGTTTCATGAGATGGGAGTCTCGGGTGTGTGGGACAAAATCCCACACGGTTTTACCCTTGAGGTATACACCGTTCACCCAACGAACCCAGAGCATGTCTTTATTTAGATGTACATCCCAGAGGGTGCGAGCAAGGAGGGCGTGATTCCATATCTTAGCATTATGGATGCCAAGGCCACCTTCCTCTTTGGGGAGGCAAATATCGTCCCAAGCCACCTTTGAGAATTTGCCACCCCATAAAAAATACGGCATATCGAAACAATTCTATCAAGAATAGTTTGAGGCACCGGAAACACTTGGAGCCAAAACGATTGGACCCCTTGGATCACCGATCGTATTAGCTCAAGTTTACCTGCATAGGAAATCATCTTGGTGTTCCAGGTACTTAAGAACTCATTTACCGTATCTAGGAGTGGCGCATATTGGGCCACGGAGATTTTTAAAGGCGCAAGTGGGATACCGAGATATCTCACCGGGAAAGCTCCACGATCAAAGTCCACGAGGTCTAAAATACCCTGAAAATCGTAACTATTAACCCCACCGACGAAAATGTTAGATTTGTTATGGTTAACCCTTAGGCCCGATACGTCCCCAAACTCTTTAAGAGCCTCAACCAATATTCCAATGGAGTATTTGTCTCCTCTCGAAAAGAGCATAAGATCATCCGCATAGGCCAAGTGGGTTATACCCAAGGACCCACAAAGCGGGTGATGGTTAAAGCCCGATACTTTAGATTTCATGGTAAGAAGGCGAGAGAAGTACTCAAGGCATAGAACGAAAAGCATCGGGGACATTGGATCCCCTTGCCTAATGCCACGCTTACCCTTAAAGAAACCATGCAAAATTCCATTCAACGAAACAGAAAAAGACGCGGTAGTAACACACTCCATTATCCAACCCACAAATAAATCGGGGTAGCCCAGACCCTTAAGAACATTGGCAAGAAAATCCCAAGAAATAGTATCATAGGCCTTGCGCAAATCCACCTTAATCATACAACGAGGTGAGATTCGCTTCCTATTGTATCCTCTAACAAGTTCCTGGGAGAGGAAAATGTTATCAAACATTAGGCGGCCATCCACAAACGCACCTTGTGCTTTGTTAATCAAACCCGAAAGGGTAGGGATTAATCTTGCCGCAATAATCTTCGTAATGATCTTGTAAAGCACATTAGTACACGAAATAGGTCTATAATCTAAGACCATAGGGGAGTGACTAGTTTTAGGAATTAGAGCTATCACAGTATGATTTAACTGTTTAAGCATCTTTCCCGAGTTAAAGAACTCTTTGGTCGCCCGAGTCACATCCCCCCCCCCACAACATTCCAATTTTTCTTAAAAAACGCTGATGAATAACCGTCCGGCCCCGGTGCCTTGTCATCCCCAATATCAAACAAAGCATCTTTAATTTCTTTGTTAGTTATCGGAGATAATAGGCTATCATGAACGCTTGGTTCAATCAAGGGGCCGGTTCCTAGTACCGTTTGGTCAAAGGAAAGGTTTCCATCTCGGTGCCAAAAAGATCAAGAAATTTTTTTACAAATTCATTCCCAACATGATCAATAGAAGTAGTAAGACTACCATCATCCAACCTAATGGACGTAATGGTATTCCTGGCCTTGTTCCTGTTGACAATAGCGTGGAAATACCTTGTGCCCTTATCCGCCTCAAGGATATGTGTAGCTTTCGCACGCTGTTGGAAGAAACTACATTCAGCCTCACCTAGGAAGGTGGCTCTTTTTCTCGCCCCATTTACTTGCTCTTTGAGGTCAGCATCATCGGAAGAATCAAGCAACAACCTGTTAAGCCTTTTAAAATCTTCTTTCGCATTTTTTGCCTTCATAGAAATATGACCAAATTCCACTTTGTTAAGATTCTTAAGCGGCTGTTTTAGTAACTTAAGTTTCTTAGCAATTTGGAATT